GGGGGGGGGGGTGTAAAAATATACCAAATTTAAAGTAATTTCAGGGAAGTGGTGGATGGAGAGATGGGATGGGGGAATGGTTATGATGGTGATTGCTGGGGTTCTGATGATAATGCTAATGGTGATATTGGCGACAATCTGGTGGAGGGGAATTCTGTTATTAGATTTTGCTCCTGGTGAACTTATTGTTGGTAATAATAATGACGATGGTAATGATCTTGATGACGTCAAATATGGTTACAATGACAGCAATGGAGGTACACAGAGGATGATGATGATGATGAAGATTATGAGGAGACTGACGAAAAGGTGTAAAACTTGATGATGATGAGGAAGAGGTAGAATAGGATGTTCTAATGATGATGACAATGATGGTGATGATGGTGATGATGATGATTAAGCGGAGACAGAAGAAGAAAAATGGTAAAACTTGATGATAATGGTGATGATGACAATGAATGTCCTTCTACCATAATCAACTTTATTATTCTCCTCAGAGGATGATACTGGTGATGATGACAATGAATGTCCTTCTACCATAATCAACTTTGTTATTCTTCTCAGAGCCAATGCCCCTCAGCTGCGTCAAAATTTTGATTCTGAGACTCATAATCTACGCATGCAGCTGAATAACATCCAGAGTTCCTCTGATGGATTTGATTCTAAGCTCTCTCAACTGGCTTCTCTCCTAGGTAAGATGAGAGTTTTATATGATAATATACTATCAACAAATTGCTACCTCAGAATTACAAAGTCCTATCTGCTCAGTACCTAGTTTTGAGAAATTTGACGTCAAACATTTTGAGTTTCACATGTCAAGCTTTTTTTTCAAATGCAGTTCTTTGAATATCTTGATAATGACTCCGAATAGCCTTACCGTCATATGAGCGCACGGGACACACCTGATACTTTTTCGTTGGAAGGAAATTTTGAATTTTGCCCGGGTGGCGGCCGAAGCCTACTCTTATCGATTTTAGACCACCAAGGGATCTTTAACGTGCGCAACTTGCACACGGGCCCTCCGAGATTTTTCGCCCTTGTCCGAGAAGCTAGATGTAGATCTTTCCGACCAGAAGATCAGGGGTGTGGCAGAAAGACAGCAGTTAGGAGGAGCCAAGGAGTAGCAGTAGGAAGGCTGCAGAAAGAGTCAGGAGCCCAGAGGAGGGGGCAAAGGAGGTGAGGGCAGAAAGTGGAAATGAAAGCAGACAACAGAACATTGTTAGAGATCAGGAAATGATGTGAAAGGAGACAATTTTAGAGAAGAAAATGTTTTGGTCGCTACCCGAAATCGAACCCGGGACCTTTGAATGAGAAGCCAACACCTTAACCTCTAGGCCACGAGAGCGCCCAGGACCTCCAAGATTTTTCGCCCTTTTCTGAGAAGACTAGGTATTTGATCTTACCTTTGAAAAGATCAGGGGTGTGGCTGATGGACAGCAGTAAGAAGGAGCCAGGAGGAGCAGTAGGAAGAGTTAAGAATAAAGCTGAAAGTAGTCCATAGGAAGCTGGGGGTGGAGGGAGAAAGTGAAGAGGGATGGAAGGAAAAAATTGAGATAAAAGGAGATGACAGAACAAGACTGGAGCACTGGAAAAGAGGTGAGAGGGGAAAAGTTTAGAGAAAAAAATGGTGTTTGTTGCTGTCAAGTTTTGATCCCTTGACCTTTTGAATGGGAGGCGAACACCGTACCTCTAGACAGTGAGAACCCCCCTGAAAGAGACTAAATTGCACCAGATAAATAGATATGACAAAAAAAAGAAAGAAAATTATAAGATAATAAGTAATTATAACAACAATTATAAGATATCAAAAAGAATTGGCAAGATAATAATGGAGTATAACAAGAAATAATAAGAGGTAATAAAAGGAAATGTCAAGCTATAAGAGATTATAACAAGAAATGAGTAGATAACAACACGTTTGTTTGAATAAAAAGAAATTTATCAACCTGAAAACTTTCATTTAGTGCAGGGGAAAAGCGATATACACAGACAGAAACAACAGAGAGAAAGAAATATCAAGGTAATAATAATAACATGCAATGACACAATATTAGTGAGACGTTACTTGATGACAGCTGAAAACGACAAAGTAATGAAGAGAAATGACATGATAAACACAGGCTATATTGTGATATAACTGGAATGGACAGAATAGTAAAAGATAGCAAAGAGCTGGACTCTAGCTCCCAACTGGTTGGAGCTTGGAGACAGTTTTATTCTGGGGCATAAAATGTTTAGAATCAACAAATCTCTTGATGAGGGGAGTAGCGTTCACAACGTTAAAGCTCTGTTTCTGATAAACCGTATCTTTTGTCTACTTGTGTTTACTTTCAATAATGGTCATTGTAGCTATCCTAGAAAGGACGTTTGAAGCTTTCACGATCAAATTGTGTGGACAAAGCCGATAAACGAATATTCTAATTATCTTAGAGAAGCTCCTGCACTCTTTTATCATTTTTGTAACTCAGTGGAATTGTTTAACTTTTCCAGGCCAAGTGCAGACTGCGCAGCAGAGGGCCACACAGGAGGATAGCGGGACAGGTGTCCTCAGCTCCCAGCTGCAGGCGCTCTCCGCCCTGGGTTCTGATGTGACCAACCAACAGAGCTCAGTGACCAGCAACAAACAGGCTGAGAATCTCCGAAGGGAGGCAGAGAGAGTGAGGCTGGAGACAGAGAGAGTTGAAGGTAGACACATCGGGACCTCAGTGCTTTCTTGTCCTATCTTCATTTTTAATAACTGTGAAAACAGTTGATAATAAAGAGTGAACTTAAAAAGAAGTCACATTTTCAATGTAAAAAAAAAATGGAGAAAGGACAAGAAAGCACTGAGGTCGCTACTTTGTTCAAGGCCAGCGTCCTATGGCCGAGCACTAGTGTCTGTGGTGTGGCGGACAGATGCTTTGCTGTCGCACTCAGAGGGCATGAGTTCAATTCCCGCGTGGGGAAAATTTTATTAAGTATTTCAGTGTTTCTGCGAGGACGATGCATCTCTCTCAGCCTAGGTTGGCCCTGACAGGCAGGGTCAAAGCCTGCCTCCAAATTGATCTACATGTAAATTGTGTCCATGAGGGTATAAAGACACCTACATTTAAAAAAAGAAATGTCCAAACCACCTTCTTATACATCTCTTGTTTTCCAGAGTGATCGAGCCAGTGTGGGACTTTACATGTAGGTAGTCATTTGAAAGAGTACAGTATCGCGATTTGCAAACATCTGTGCTTTCAACAGTTTTGTCATTGGAGGTTCTGTTTTTCCCCCACAAGATGATTTACACGGCTACCTGGGTGTCACCAGATAGAGTGACTGAAAACCAGATTGATCATTTTTGGATATCTTGTTGGTTCAGACTTTCACTGTGGGTGGTTGGCGGGCGCTCTGGTGTGGTTTGCTTCTTCTTTCCTATCAAACATCTATCGTCCTTATCTCCCCTTCTTCTTTTTCATGTTTGTTACTCTCTTGTAACACCTCTAATCTTCTGGCACTCATATGACCTTATGCAGTTGCGAGCGCCGTAAAACGTCTACTAAAACTAAACACGTTCACTTGTAAATGTCGGAGTACTGAGAGGAGAAGAGGTTAGATTGGATCATTATCTGCTGCTAGCAAAACTCATGCATTGTCTCAAAAAGCACGGAACCAGAACAGGAACCAAAAGAACGAAGTTCCAATTTCCTGCCAAACATCTTGTCAGCAAAAAATGAGTCACTAATCTGCTGTAGTGTCCCTTCAAAAGAAGAGATTGTGGATGCCTTTAACTCACTTGAGCCTGAGCTATTTTTCAGCCAACCTCCATTGCTGCCTGAAAGGTTTGGGGTATATTGAATCGTTAACCACAAAAAGACAGTGAAAGCTATCATAATGAAAGAATGCAGTAAAAGAAAAAAAAAAAGAAATGCTCTGACAGAAAAAGAAAACTGCGTCTGATTTGTCCGAATAGTTTTTATTTTATCAATATTTCGAAATGGTGATGTGTCATGGTTACACAATTTTTTTGGGCCCCATTTATAATAAAATCATCTATCGCAATGAGGGGGTGACAGGTGTAGTCTGTTACAGCTCAAAAAGTATAACACGTAACTTCACCAAATATTGAACAAAACGAAACAAGTGAGTCAACTGTTGGTTCACTGCTTCTTGTGACTTGTAACCGAAAAACACCGGAGATATTGATCGATAAAGTGCATCCCGTAAATACTCCGGATTAGGCCACCGAGCCGGCGGCGCATCCCGTAAATACACAGGGATAGGCTCAAGTGATTTAAGGAAATGAAGAGAGGCAAAGCGGCTGGATCTGATCACATTCCACATGAGGCCCTGAAAACAGATGCCAATGTGACGGCAGACCTACTCCTCCCACTGTTTTACCAGGATCTACAATGGCAGCAAGTTCCTAAAGGATTGGAAAGGACATCTTGTGAAGCTTCCCAAATGGGGGATTTCAGCAAGGGCAGCAACTACAGAGGAATTACTCTCCTCTCGGTACCGGGTAAAATCTTCAACAGAACCAGTCTGGAGAGAATCAGGACTGACTGCTACAGATCCGAGTCTTCGCGATGAACAGGCTGGTTTTAAGAAAAAAATCGGTCAACGACTGGCCAGCTACTTAAGTCCCGCATCAGAAAGGCACAGGCTGCTTTCATATCTTTGAATGGGATTTGAATGAAGGGTCAGGGATATCCCCCTCCCAACAAAGCTGAGAATTTAAAACTCAAATGTGAAATCAGTCTTGTATGGATGTGAGAGATGGAATGCATCTCAGACAAGCATAAAGAGGATCCAGGTTTTCTTGAACAAATGTCTGAGAAAGTTACTCAGGATCAGACGGACAAACAGTCTCACCAAGGGGGAAGTGTTTATGAGAACAAGACAGAGCCAAGTCGGAGATGAAGTGGGAATAAGGCGGTGGAGATAGATTAGACATCTCTCTCGGGAAGCTAGGCAGCCACATAACAAAGGAAGTGTTGGATAAAGAGATCAAGGGGAAGGCCATGAGAAACCTGGAGATGAATCACTGAAAATGATGTGCAGGAAAGTGGGAAGACATGGAATAATGTTAAAAAGGTAAGAGCAAGATAGGGAAAGGTGGAACATTTTTGTTCGTTACCTATATCCTGATGCAGGGTGATAAAGGCAATGATGATGATAACAGTAACGGATTATCCATAGCAATTCTAATCTCACTATACATTACTGAAAAACAGGAAAATCCTTTCTTCTCCCTTCTGTTCCAAATGACAGCACATGTGTAAATTTTGTCAGTTTATGCATTGTTTATTCTAGGATGCAAATTAAGAATTTAGTTAAACTGTGTTTTGTCTTTTATCTGAGGGTCCACTCCGTACCTCATTTTGTCAGTGCAGGGACAGAAAAAAATGTGAGGCAGCGTGGTGGAATCAGGCTGTCGTCAAAATAATTAAAATGAAGAAACTTGCATTTTTCCACAGGTTTGTGAATTTTTATAAAATTTTTGTTTTTTTGGCTCAACACCTTTCATACCCATTAAAGAACTAGTTTTTGTGTGGATTATTCTGAAAAACGTTGATTAAAGGCACAAAAAAGTAAATTTTCAGTTTTCACGGACTCTTAAGCTAATGAAATAACTAATCTTTGGCGGCCATTTTCTCACTAATTTTACCTCTGAAAACAGGTGACCCCCACCTCCTTCTTTTGCAAATATCTCGATTTGTATTCAAGATAAATGGATATTTTAAAAATCCAAATAAAGACAAGTGAACAAGCTATAAGATGATATCAATAACTCTACATGCCCAAAAATTGACGAGAGCCTGATTCCACCACGCTGCCTCACATATGTTAAAAATGTAATTGTAAGTTAAGATGGAAAATCTTATGTCATTTTCATAACCAGCGCCCCAGAATTAGCGAAATCAATGGGGAAACCGCCGGTTTAAATACAATTTAACAATTGTATGGATTTTTAACAAATCATCTATTGTATGATATTCCTGCCATCCGTTCATTGACCTTTGACCTATTCACGCATGCTGGAAAAAAGCAGACCTGATTACCTCCGCCCGACGAAAAAAAAAAAAAAGATCGGGTCGTTACTGCTTTGGTGGACACTCGGCCACGTCATTTTGAGAGCATCCTAGTAGAGGAATGAATGGCGAACCGTGCTCGCTGATGTCTCTCGCAAGGCGAATTATGCTCGCCTCGTCGATATTCTGCCTCAAGGCGAATCGTGCCTGCCTCTTCGATATTCTGCCTCAAGGCGAATCGTGCTCGCCGCGGATGTCTGTCGCAAATCTGGCTTTAAGATGATACCAATAACTCTACATGCCCAAAAATTGACGAGAGCCTGATTCCACCACGCTGTCTCACAAATGTCTGGGATTGTGTAAGTCGTAGAGTACTGACAAGATGCAGAAAGAGTTCTTGCGGAAACTAGTCTTCTTCACGCTTTTGTATTGCTGTGCATTTTCGGGTTGTTTTTTTGTAGGACATAGACGCAATGTCTCCTCTTTTTCACACTGGCTTTTTTCTTTTGGCAGAAGAAAGACGTCGTAATGCAGATCAAGGAAATCCATGCACCGTTTTGTAAATGTTTCTGTTGGCCAGACGGGGCGATGTGACTGCCCGATTCATGGGTACTGCTCACTTTTTCTCTTTTCAATGTGTATGTTAGAGATTTGTGGGGGTCACCTGTTTTCAAAGGTAAAATAAGTGCGAAAAAGGCTGCGAAAGATTAATTATTTTCTTAGCTTAAGAGTTCCTGGTAATTTACATTTTTGTGCCTTTAATCAACGTTTTTCAAGAAAATCCAAACAGAAATGAATTCTCTGATGGGCATGAAAGGTGTCGAGCTAAAAAACAAAAGTTGATAAAAATTCGCAAACCCGTGGAAAAAATGCAAGTTTCTTCACTTTGATTATTTTGACGAGAGCCTGATTTCTCCACGCTGCCTCACAATTGTGGAAAATGGGAGAAGGGCAATTGTATACCAATGCCATAACAGCTGGCATTGAAGGGTGAGGAACTGTGGATGCTTTCTGCTCCCAGTGACGAAATCTAGCTCATTGAGGGGGTTTCCGCCTCTTGAATTACCTAATTGTGTTGATAGGGGCGTTAAACCTATACCATTTTCACCATTGATTTGTGGGTTTTGATATTTCAACTCTCTCTTTCAAGGCCAACTCTGGCTGAATGGGATAAATGTCTCAGTTGACAGACTCCATAAGATAATTCCTCACCCCCCCCCCCCAGGAATCAAACTCCCATGTGTTTTTCTTGTGTACCACAATCACCAGTGAAAGATCAGTCTTCTAAAACAAACATTAAAACGTACGGAAATAGCAATGATGTGTGACCTCATTGTTTTCTGAATTTGTCCTCCGCAGCTGAACGAAGGAGACACCATCGTCGCAGGAGGCGCTTCCTTTTCTTCTAATTTCCATCGCTTTGTCCAGGTTGTCAACAACGTTGGATCTACCGTGTTGAAAGGACCATTTCTCCTTTACTGAACTTATGTAAAAGACAGTGAGAAATTGCCAAGAAAACTGGAAGAGCGGAAATTTCAAATGTGCTTGTTTTACTTGTATCTAGCTCCTTAAGAGCTCATATTGATATTATTTTAACCCCCCCCCCCTCTTAAAACACCCGATTGTCAATTTATTTTATTCAATGCGCACTTTCATTATGTTAAAGCAGATGGTGTTTACTTGTTTTCAAAAGCGTGGATAAGTATACTCAATATGAAGAGTATATCTTTTTTTTTTTGGTCTTCTGTCAAGCAGATGTTGAACAATGGTTCAGCCATCAACCAAGTAAGAAAAAGAAATCAATCTAGATATCTGTTTCTGAGACATGATGGAGCATCATCATCATCATTGCCTTTCTCACCCTGCACCAGGGTATAGGCCACGGACAAACACTCTCCACTTTTCTCTATCCTGGGCTAGATGTTATTCCATGTCTTCCCAATGATTGTCGAATTTTAAACATCTCTGGTGGTCTGTTGTTATGAGTTAATATGATACATACATACAAATATGTATATATATATATTATAGTAAATGTCTGTAAATTATTTTATTGTGTCCATAGCCTTTCATTAAGTTGACAAAGTGAGTAATAAATAAAATTTTTAGTTGCATCTGTAGCCATTCACTTAATGAGCTGCAACTTTATAATTTTAAGTTGCAATGGCAGCTGTTCACTAAATTTTAATGAGCTATAATTATTTTGTGTTGTATCATGTGTCTGTATGTATGGGGGAGGGGGGAGAAGTGAAAGTGAAGGAGAAAAAGAAAGAGAGAGAGAGGAGAGAGAGAGAGAGAGAGAGAGAGAGAGAGAGAGAGAGAGAGAATGAGAGAGAGAAGACCTTGTCTATTTGTTGCTTTTGGTGAATAAGTATTTATGTACTTCTTAAATAGTCTTTGCAAGTTGCGCACGTTAAAGATCCTCGGAATTGATAAGAGCAGGCTTCGGTTGCCACCCGAGCAAAATTTAAAATTAATTCTTACCAAACTGAACATACTTAGCGTGTCACGTGTGCTCATATGATTTTAGGCAGTTGCGAGAGCAGTAAAACACTTACCCAAAAAGTCTTTGCTTTCGAGCATAATATTGAGAATTTATAGAATGGAATATTATGCTCTGCTAAAATGCAATTAGCTAGTATTAAATTTTTTTGCCATTTTTTCCCCTCCTTAGTTTTCTCATTAGACCCCCCCCCCCTCTGACCCACACAAAAGACTATCTAAGACTCTACAGAGTATTTGGTGTACGGGAATTTAGAACTTGTAAATATGATATAATCTAATTACACGTATGTCGATCCCCTTGAGCAATACATGAGTCGCAGGGTCGGCTCGTGGGGCTAAAAAGTGGACGTGCACAATTAAGCTGAAGATAGTCAAGGGCATAGTAAATGAGACGGTGTGCAATTTTAGGATCTTTGGGTTGGTGAGGGAGGACCTCGTGCTTTTATTTTCGTTCTTTTTACTTGTCGCTTTGATTTCTAGTACTACATTTGTTTGTTAGCTAAACATCAATTTCGTTCATCCTGTATTAGAACTGAACACTCTATTCATAACTTTCACTACTCCACTACAAAACCATTCAAAGGCACAACTCATAGGATCGTCACGTTCACCTCCTTTAGGTTCACGGTCACAGATTCTCTTAAAATAGTAGCAAGGTAGACAATGAACCAACCACAATTCACTTGAGCACTCCGCTGGATTGCTCTGGGGCTCACATAATATTGGCAAAGAATAGCGTACGGTCTATCGCGTTTACTTTTAGACTGCCTACTGTGGGCTATGTTTCGGCACTGTTCGGCAGGAGCACATTTGAGATGTGCCGTCTTATTAATATTAATGTACCGCCAAACTCGGTACGAGTGTCGTCATCGCTTGCGTTATCCCCAAGAGCGATGTATAGGTCGGGATGCACTGTTGAATATCCTATTATGTTAAACTAAAGCGCGTGGACTTTGGCATGGCATAGTATATGTTTTACGGCGCTATAGACACAGAAATGACAGTTATGGCGCCAGTGAGGACCTTGTTTTGAAATAATATTTGGCTAGTGTTTGTTTTTGGCTTCTTTTATTTTATTATTGTGGGTGTTTTACGTAATAGAACACTAAAAATTGTTGGGCGGCACTGCACGACCGTGCTCTATGGACGATTCGCGCCTGATGAGCGGTCTCTAGGCTGTATCTCAAAGTCAAGTGTGTGATGGAAAGTCGTAATTTAATATACAGCAGAAATACCCTCAATCAGATAATGTTAATGATAACAGATAGCATCTGGCACAAACTCCCGCTCAACAGCAAGCTCTACAATATATATAATTATCCCAGCTGACCTGATAGCATTCTACAAACATTTCAACTTCTTGGGAAGCATACAGTGCAAGCTGCCATTTTATAGGTGCTAAAGTACTAACATACTGACAAGATCTTTTGCTATTTATGGCCGGGTTTCCATTCAGCCATTGGTGAAATGAAATGAGAAAAAATCGTGTACAGTGCCTTTCCCAAGGACACAAGGTTGGGCATGAGGCTCGAACCTTGGTTTGGGGGGCGGGGGGCGGGGGAGGGGTGAATAAGAGTCAGACATTTGGGGGCTGGCGGGAGAGGAAGGGGGGGGGGTAGGGGCTAAGGGAAAAGATGGGGTGGAGGGGGCAAGCTCAAGGGCTGTCATCAGGGTAAGAGTAGTACAGTACATTTAATTATTTATATAATTCATGTCTGAATGACCAACCTTGCTTCCGAACCTCACAATTTGATTATGAGTCCAGTAGCCTTACCACAAGATGACCAATGCCACACAAATCCTAAATCGAGATCCACACAAATCCTAAATCTACGTCCACATACTACCAAGATATGGAAGATTTGAGTTCAAATCTGTTTGATCTCTTTCTCGTAGTCTTTTGGGCCACCCTCTGTTGGAAAGTTACGTGTGAGGAGCGATACAATTTTAAAACTAGTGTTATTATGTTATCATTTAAAAATGTGTTTTTGAAAAGACAATAATGTTAGCTAAAAAAACAGGGAGCTACACATTTACGACCTGTTAAAGTTTGTTTGAACGACTGTCTATATGAGTGGGATACGGTCTATTGTATGATGTTGATGAATTATTCAATGGATCAATTTTATGTACTTCATTGTTAATCGGATTCATAGATGAGAAATAATAAAATTGAAATTTTTGTACGTATGTATTTATATTCACTTTTAAAAATACTGTTTCTAACTGTTTGTCCCTCCCCCCTCCCCCACCAGAGCAGTGCTACTGACTGAAGTGTTTTTAGGCCATTCCCAAAGGGGGGATATTAACATGTTCTTATGCACAGTAGAGTTGTAAATGGGCTGATTTATCAATGTCATGCTCATACTGTGCCGAAACAACATGGAGGGAACTGCTGCAATTTTTTTTTACCATCCTTACTATCGTCATTTTTTCCTCTACTTCTTTTGTATGTTTGTTACTCTCTTGTGAATTGCCATTTCCAGTGTTCCCTGATAGTCGAAGCAAACTTTGTCCTGTTGAGGCCTGAGAGCTGAACAGAGTGAGCCTGATTCCTCGTTTGGACTTCTCTGTTAACGTCCACCCCTTGGCGCTCATATGACCTTATGCATTTGCAAGCACCGTAAAGCCTTATTAAAACAACATAACTGTTTGACTAAAAATGAAACTACAATGTACAGTCTGGCACGCAAATAGTGAAATTGGCGGGAAGTGAAAATCTTTTCGTTATGTACACATTTTGCTAATGTGTGTAGTTCAAATATAAAGATCATGCATGTTGATGTGTCATGATGTGGTGGAATCAAGTGCTTGTCAATATTCGGGCATGTGGAGTTATTGGTGTCATCTTAAAGCTTGTTCATTTGTCTATCTTTCTATGAAAAAAGATACCCTTATATCTTGAATAGAAGCTGAGACATTTGTGCTTGAAGGAAGTGGAGTCCCCTGATTTCAGAGGTTAAATAAGCGAGAAAATAGCAGCCAAAGTTTGGCAACTTCTGTAGGTTGAGAGTCTACCCTGTAAATTGAAATTGCATTATTTGTGCCTTCAGTCAAAGGTTTTCAGTAAAATCCACACAGAAATGTATTTTAAAATGGAAATAAAAGCTCTCGTGGTCCAGAGATTAAGGTGTTCGTCTCTCATTCTATCAGTCCCGGGTTCGAGTTCGGATAGCGACGGAAAATTTTCTTCTCTAAAATTTTCTTCTATCACATCCTTTCCTACTCTCTAAAAATGACCAGTCATCTGCTTTCGTCTCCACTTTCTGCCCCGCCCCATCAGCTCCTTTGCCCCCTCGTCTAGGCTCCTGACTCTTTTTGTAGCCTTTCTACTGCTTCTCCTAGGCTCCTTCTTAATCTTACTGCTGTCTTTCAGCCACACCCCTTATCATATGATAGGTAAGATCTAACACCTAGCCTTTCGGATAAGGGAGAAAAATCTCGGAGTTTTCGTGTTCATGTTACACTCGTTAAAGATCCCTTGGTGGTCCAAAATCGTTAAGAGTAGCCTTCGACGGCCACCCGGGCAAAATTCAAAATTTCCTACCAACCAAAAAGTGTCCCGCGGGCTCATGTGACATAGATCTAATGCAGTTGCGAGCGCCGTAGAACACCCCCCCCCCAAAAAAAAAAGAAAAAAAAAAAGGAAAAAGACTATTAGTTGGGTTATCGCACAGTACTAGAGACTAAAATGGAGATGATTGAGTACATGTATTCAATTTTTACTACTTTATTAGTACTAGAGCAGTATATTCTCTGGGCCCAAGAGGAGATGGAAGGGTAATCATGTAGGGTAATCATGTACTACACACAGAGTAGAGTAATCATGTAGGGTAATCATGTACTACACACAGAGTAGGGTAATCATGTAGGGTAATCATGTACTACACACAGAGTAGGGTAATCATGTACATCAAGTACTACAGGCACAGGCGTTCAGCGCGATCCACGTTAGACCCGTACAAAGGACGGACGAGGTGGAATTGGAGAAAGACCGACGATCTATAATTAAAATAATCAACCAAGTGGTACAACCTGTTTGTTGCAAGGCGGGGTGGCAGGATAATTCTTCCCTCACACACGACCTCCCCCTCTTCTCGCTACGCCCTAAGCTTAAGAGGAAAATTTCTTGAGATCTTACAATGTATTTGCTTTTCAAGCAAAACTTGAAAAACAAGACTAGCGTCAGAGGAAGGTTTTCCCTGAATTTGAATATTCAGTTCAATACAGACGTAGTTCTTTGTGATGTGTGTTTGTATGAAGTTTAACCCATTAACATTACATTTCAAACATTTCATACACGATATTAATATTGTTTTTGCACATGAAGGGAAGAGTTTCAGACGGAAGGGGAGAGAGGGATAGCTGGAGAGTAAGAGAGGGAGAGAGAATAAGAGAGAGAGAGAGAGAGTAAGGGAGAGAAAGAGAGAGAGGAAGAGAACGGGGAAGCGAGAGAGAGAGAGAGAGAGAGAGAGAGAGAGGGAGGAAGAGAGAGGGAGGAAGAGAGAGGGAAAGAGAAGGAGGCAGAAAGAGAGAAGGAGGCAGAAAGAGTGAAGGGGGGACGAGAGAGAGAGAGAGAGAGAGAGAGAGAGAGAGAGAGAGAGAGAGAGAGAGAGAGAGAGAGAGAGAGAAGTGGAAGGGGGGGGATTGGTTCCTCCTCCTCCTCCTCCTCTTCTTCTTCTTCTTCTTCTTCTTCTTCTTCTTCTTCTTCTTCTTCTTCTTCTTCTTCTTCTTCTTCTTCTTCTTCTTCTTCTTCTTCTTCTTCTCCTTCTCCTTCTCCTTCTCCTTCTCCTTCTCCTTCTCCTTCTCCTCCCCCTCTTCAGAATTTCTAGAAAAATTGCAACATGTATGTTTGCACCATCCGTCATAATTCCTTGGGAGTCATGCCGGGTCGAAGGTACTCGTAAATCGGGAAAACCCTAGATTACGTTATGTTTGGTTTGCCCATTGCACGCTGACACGGAAGAAGGGAGACTCCTTTGGTTTACCTGATGGGACAGAGACAGAACCAGGTACTACTACACTGGTGACTAAAGGTACGTTTCTCTTTTCTCCTTTTTTTCTTATGTATAGTTACTTCAGATGTAGTCCCTAGACAACAGCACCCCTCCCCCTCCCCCAAATAAAAAAACAAGGAGAAAAAGACTATAATTAGTTCAATAAGTTGAAATAAAATGAAATTAAAACTGAATAGATTATTTTTTACATTAGTTGTTATAATCAAGACAGAAAATATCTCCAGTGGCCAGACAATACATTGATGTTGTGTGTACATTGTGCATTTGGCAAACGGGAAAATCACAGTGTACCTCTTTAGGTTTAGCGCCCCTTTTCAACACTGATAGTTTACTTAGGAGACAGGACCCCTGAATGTTTCACCAATTTCATTTTCTATATAGCGGAGCCATCCGTTATGGATGTAATGTGAAAGGTGGGGGAAACAACTAACGTAGTTCAAAAACCCCCATTAGGTCTCGAACCAGGGTCATCCGCACTAAAGCCCAGCACTGTTCCAACTGATACACATTAGAGCATAATTTGAAATTTTCCAACCTTGTGTTATTCAAGAGCACCTCGTAATATGCATGTATATAATTATAATATGATGTTCCCAAAGAAACCAAAGGCACAACATAATAATATGTGCGATGTAAAGCCGGAATTCAAGGGCAGGGTTCAATGCAGCCCAGTCTCGATCAATGATTATAAATGCTTCCCGGGAAGCTGAGAATGTTTCGGAGTGTTCTATGGTCTGTTGGGGAAATAATATAGTGTAAAGCGCATAGAGCCTGCTGCTGAGCGGGGATATGCGCTATACAAATGCTATCTATTATTATAAATACGGTATTTACGGTCTCTGGTCTCGATAGCAGTCTATATTTAACCTGCACTGGCACACTCTCTTTGTGTGTGTGTGTGTGTGGGGGGGGTCTTGGTCGATGTCCAGACGTGAGTTGGCAAGCAGGTAAAAGGGGTGACAGAGAAGGGCAAGAAATAAACACACTTCGTAAAGAAATGAGTGAAAACGGACAAAGTATAGACCAGACACACCGACATACCACGAAACGTAAGTTAACAATTTATCAGAATGTAGTAATCAGGGGAAAGTTCGATCCTGATCACTGCAAAAGCTATGATGTAACTGCGGGAATTCCCGATAATTCCCGAGAACGCATTACCCAAGACCGGGAAATACTGTAGCCTACCTCTACCTCTTCAGGTGCCAGATGTGAAAACAGACCGTCATGGTTCGTTACCGTACCTGGTCTTCCCCGTTCTCTCTATCTGCTGAAGTTCTTGAAAAAAGTTACAACTCCAGTTGGTCTACCTTTTCCTCTTTCGCCTTCTAGTTTTTCTAAAGAAAGCAAGTTGTTCCAAACTTTATGCGGGGAGATAAGAGGGTAGGTGCCAAGGTAAAAGATTGGGGGGGGGGGGGGGGGGTAAGAGGGTAGTGCAAAGGAAAAAAAAATAAGGGGGGGGGCGGGGGGGGGGGGGGGCCCAACGACTGCCATTAGGGGAAAATAGTATGTGTAATTATTTTATAATTCATGTCTGGATGACCAAAATCTAAACGGACCACAAACTTACTGGTGGCTAGACTTAGACTGGTTAGTCAAATGAACATAAAGGGCCTTGAATGCTTGCAAGTTGCCTAATTTTAGCAATGCCAAAGAACAACACACAACAGTTATGGAACAAATTGAGTAGAAACTCTCTCTCTCTCTCTCTCTCTCTCTCTCTCTCTCTCTCTCTCTCTCTCTCTCTCTCTCTCTCTCTGTGTGTGTGTGTGTGTGTGTGTGTGTGTGTGTGTGTGTGTGTGAGTGAGTGTGTGTGTGTGTGTGTGTGTGTGTGTGTGTGTGTGTGTGTTTGTCTGTGTGTGTGTGCGTGCGCCTGTATAACTCAAAGTCGACAAGAACTGACCTCACCGACTATTTTCTAGCCGATATAATATCTCGTTTCGAAGCTTAACGATATGATGTTCCTGGTGTCTTCAGACCGGCTCACACTATTTCCCTGGGATCAGCAGGAGTCGAGACTTCTGAGGTCTAAGAAAGCCTAGTTAGTTGTGAATCGGCGGCCAACTTTCTGAAGTAAATGAGTCGTCAGGGGACTGCTGGCGCCAGGTATTTCGACAGCCACTGGGACGAAGTTGTAAGCGGTCGGTGAGGCCCACATAATAAGAATATGTGAAGCGTACTGACAAAATAAGTAACTTCTCCAATTTTATCTCCATGGAAATAGATACATCACGCTTATAGGTGAAGTTATTACGATTTATAAGTATGAAAACCTAAAGGGCGTGTTGTACTTTAAAAATATGACATCAATAAGAAATCTACAAATTTGACCCAAGTGTCGATTTTTGGCCAATGTCTCCATATGTGGATAGCGAGAAGTAACTCATTTTGTAAGCACGTCTCACGTAACAAAATAATAATAATATTTTCTTATCTTGGCTTTTTCGGCCTCATTAGTAACACTGCCGGGAGCGTAGGCTGGGGAGCGAGGAGACGACAGACAGCAGCGAGAATCAAAGAAATTATATTATGTAACCAAGTTGTGCTGTCTGAATAATTTTGTCAAATGTTTGACTTCAACATTCAGCCCTTGCCTTAGGAGAGCTTAGCGTCCGACAGACTCATCTGGAGAATAGCAGTCACAGAGGGCAACGCATTATGATATGGGGCTTTACAAATTAGAACTGTTGAAGCTAAGAGATCACCCCGTGAGCTGTGCCCTTCCACAAGTGGAGATGAAGCCTTTGAAAGCTCAAACAAGACAAACTCTTCTCTGTGAGAATCAGTCTCATTGGTCACATCAAAATCACAAATAATAATAATAGTAATAATAATAATTGCATTTATATAGAGCATATCCATGCTCAAGAGCATGCTCTATGCGCTGTACAACCATTATTACCCCAGAAGACCCTCTGAGAACACTCTGAAACATTCTCGGCTTCCGCGGAAGCGTACAGTGCAAGCTGCGGATTTCACGTGCTCTAACACTATCAAACTGACAAGATCTTTCACTGTCTATAGCTGGGTACCCATTTCCACCTGGGGGAAGTGAGGAAAATGTGTGCGAAGTGCCTTTCCCAACGACACAACGTCGGGCTCCTGATTGGATTCGAACCCACGACTTTACGGTTGCGAGTCCGAGAGCCTAACCACTCGGCCACCGATGCCACTAAATAAATAAAGCATCTTCTATTTTACTGAAAATAAAACCTCCGGTACAGATGCTTTGAAAACGTCAGACATTGACAGATGAACTAGTAGAGTCAGTATTATAGACATATCATTATTTACTGGAGCTCGAAATTTCTTACATTTATTACTTCAATAGAGAAACATTTTTTAATTTCTTGATTTCTTTTTAAAAGATCTGTTTGAAGTTTAGTTGGTGTTTTGATTTTTTAAAACAGCTTTTTTCCTTCTATCTATATGGCTTGTACATAGTTACTGTGACTATCTCGCTTGGGCTCAGCTGTACGGGCAAACTGGACGGTGCTACACCAAGAAAAGAAAAACACCCAAGTGACTCGCTTAGCACTGTTTAGTCGACATTAATGACTATCACATAGTCAAACTGATATTTTTTTCTAAACCAGTAATCCACAACGAGAGACGCACCGGCACACATAACAACAAAATACCCAAACTGGCCCCCAGCGCTAAAAGTATGTACAGGTGAGTATCAGCATTTGTGAGGCAGCGTGGTGGAATCAGGCTCCCGTCATTTTTTGGGCATGTAGAGTTATTGGTATCATCTTAGAGTTTGTTCACTTGTCTTTATTTGGATGAAAAAAATTATCCATTTGTCTTGAATACAAGTCGAAATATTTGCAAATGAAGGAGGTGGAGGTCACCTGTTTTCAGAATTAAAATTAGTGAGAAAATGTCGCCTAAGATTAGTTACTTTTTAACTTTAGAGTCCGTGGCAACTAAAAATTTACATTTTTTGTGCCTTTAATCAACATTTTTCAGAAAAACCCAAACAGAAATGAGTTCTTTAATGGGCATGAAAGGTGTTGAGCCAAAAAACAAAAATCTGATAACAATTCACAAACCTGCGGAAAAATTCAAGTTTATTTACTTTGATTATTTTGACGAGAGTCTGATTTCACCACACTGCCTCACATTTTTACTCCTTTGAAGCTCTCCCGTTCTTTAAAAAAATGTATTACCGGTAAAACCTTCATTACTTCATGTTTTATGCGCACACCTTCACAAACCCTCTTTGAATTGGCATCTAGCAAAGGCTTTTACTTTATCACCTGATCAACACGACTGACGAGCTGTTTTTCTCTAGTTAGCTGCTGCTGTTGTTTTAAATGTTCAGAAAACAACCCTATAAGTAATGGCAGTAAATCGCGTTAAAAAAAAAAGTCTTCGATTGGCCTATCGTGCTTAGCTTACCTTTTACTCAATAATCAAATTATAATTGTTATGTGTTGCGAACAAAGTAAAACACCTAATGTCTCAAACTCGATAACCGCCGAGAAAACAAAAACTTCTCAAATTTAGCGCGTATCTGCACCAAATCTGAAAGGACTTATCTTTGATCATCTGGACGCCATAATCTATGTTCAAATTTGAACTCGATAAAGGAGCACTGCTGCATCAGCCGTGTCTTGCAGTAGTCTGCAAAGGCTTTTTGTGTTCGGAAATACGCCGAATCCAGGTCCGCAAATATGCTTTAAGCACGTTATTGCAGAGAGTAGGAGTTGATTCCAGATCTAGATCTAGTGCACCTTTTGAAAGAGCAATTTGGGAGTGGTACAGTTTGCTACAGTTTCGCCCCTTCCTGCCCACCCAGCAGTAATGGGTACCTGACTTCGAGTTGGGGAAGTAAAGGCGGGGTGGAAAGGAACTAGCCACCCTACCACAATATGCCGAAGGCCCTGGAAGTTGTCTCACTAACAAGGCAATCCCCAATGTCCGGATCGGATGCGGGAACAACTTTTTAAAAAACTTTTACATTTTGGTCAAAGTACGAGGATGTCTGTCAGAAAGCCATTAAGGAAAGGGCTAAGCATTAACAATACAGTTCGAAATGTGGAAGCAGTTCGTGCGTCGGTCGCGATAACGCTAAAGAAGTCTGTTCGAGGATGTACCTGTGAACTAGGCTTGTCAATGTTCCCGACTCACAGAATCTTAAGGCATGATTTGAAAATGAAACCATGTCACATTTCTGTACATCTACAAATAAACCTAAATTAAGCTTTGTAGAGAAAAACGATGAGTGTGTAGGTTTTTTAAGACAATAGATACGGAGAGAGAGAGGGAGAGAGAGAGAGAGAGAGAGAGAGAGAGAGAGAGAAAGAGAGAGAGAGAGAGAGAGAGAGAGAGAGAGAGAGAGAGTTTTCTACGGTACAATCTGTTTGCTTAGCGATGGGGCTCATTTCTATTTCTACGTGACTAGAAAAGTTAACTCTGGGAATTGTGTGCGCCGGGCACCAGAACGACCAGATGATTTAGGTATGAGAGACATGCACGATAAAAGCAACAGCATGGGTAGTTTTCAGCTCTTAAGGTGTCGTAGGGCCATTTTGATTCTGTGCTGAAGACGGAGCCACAAAATTATTCATCACTGCAGATAATTATTTTAATGTGTTTAATCAGTTCTGGCCAACCATGCGATGGTTCTGTGGTTATGAGGTAAGAAACTAGCAATGGTTTAAACAGATAAGGCAGCCACTCAAACTGCAAAACGTGTCTTATCCTGGCTGAAGGGGAGATTTGGGGATCGTGTCATCAGTTCTTTAACAGTGCACCTGTGAGCACCATCGAGTTCAGTTTTGAACCTACTGGGCTGTTTTTCTTTGCAGATATCCCATAGACCAAATCTCAAATTTCAAATCCTTCCGGAACTCAGAAGTCGAGACAAGGAGCCGGTGAAAGCTACCCCGCCACAACGCTACACATGATTATTGATATCTCATAGACCAAATCTCAAATTTCAAATCCTTCCGGAACTCAGAAGTCGAGACAAGGAGCCGGTGAGAGCTACCCCGCCACAACGCTACACATGATTATTGATATCTCATAGACCAAATCTTAAATTTCAAATCCTTCCGGAACTCAGTAATATATCGAGTCAAGAAGCCGGTCAGAGCTACCCCGCCACAACACTACACATGATTATTTTTAAAAAGTCATAACACAGAAATGCCTTGCGTGTGATGAGGGCCATGTAGAGTATCTGTCGTAATAATAATAATAGATAATAGATAGCATTTGTATAGCGCATATCCCCGCTCGAAAGAAAGCTCTATGCGCTTTACACTATATTATTACCCCAGCAGACCATAGAACACTCCGAAACATTCTCAGCTTCCCGGGAAGCATACAGTGCAAGCAGCTGATTAAGCGCTCAAACACTAACAAACTGACAAGATCTTTCACTGCCTATAGCTGGGTACCCATTCCCACCTGGGTGAAGTGAGGAAAACTCGTGTAAAGTGCCTTTCCCAAGGACACAACATCAGGTCCCTGACAGAATTCGAACCCACGACCTTACGGTTGCGAGTCCGAGAGCCTAACCACTAGGCCACCGACGCCATCATTGTAAACATGATGTAAAGCTTACAGCACCAGTACAGATTCTGTTTTCTGGTAATTTATTGCGTAGATATCTGTCCGAATGACATCTTTGTGTTTTTACCAAAGAACTCTGCTACATTTTATTGTTGGTTGTTTTATGTAGCTTTTTTATTTGGCGGTCATCGAGTCTGGGAAACCCCGTATCATGTGTCGGATCTGTCCTTAGAGAGTCAATACCTCACTCAAACGCTCTTGCATTTGTCCCCATCGCAGGCCGGGAGACGTGCCCAATTGGAGGTACGCGAGTAGCATTGTGGATTACAATCTGTTCTTGATCGGGAAAACCGGACACGGAAAAAGCTCTACCGGGAACACCATTTTGGGCAAAGAGGCTTTCGGGGTTTCAGACAATGCAGAATCGGCGACCATCAATGTTCAGGTGAGTGGTTTGGTGTACGGCCTGCATGGCCACTGCGTAATGTTTATACATGTCGTGTATGTGGGTGTATTGGTTTGTGTGTGTGTGTGAGTGTGTGTGAGTGTGTGTGAGTGTGTGTGAGTGTGTGTGAGTGTGTGTGAGTGTGTGTGAGTGTGTGTGAGTGTGTGTGAGTATTTGTGAGTCTATATCTGCATTAGATATATAAGTCTAGTATTTAGTAACCCATCAGCATCCTGCCCATGTAGATCAGTGTGGGAATAATAGATCTAATGGGCCTGTCTGTTCTCAGCAGATCTAGATCTTGTTTTACACGTACATTTAAATTACGACTGAATAACAAGCAAGCATAGAACGATAATTCCTTTTTCTTTTTAAAAAAAATTCTTCAACTCACACCAGAATCTACTTTAGTTTAGTTAGATCTAGAATTTAGATCTAGACCTATAGATGTAGATATATAGATCTAGTCTAGTATTTAGTAACCCATCACCATAATGCCCATGTAGATCAGTGTGGGAACAAATAGATCTAGATCTAATGGGCCTGTCTGTTCTCAGTGTCACTGGGAATAGTTTCTGGGCCTATTCCCAGTGACACTGGGAACAATTCTGCCCTAGGCCCTCTTGCCAGTGGTTTCTGGGCCTATTCCCAGTACTGGGAATAGTTTCTGGGCCTATCCCCAGTGTCACTGGGAATAGTGCTTTCCATGTATGTATGTATGTATGTATGTATGTATGTATGTATGTATGTATGTATGTATGTATGTATGTATGTATGTATGTATGTATGTATGTATGTATGTATGTATGTATGTATGTATGTATGTATGTATGTATGTGTGTATGTATGTGTGTATGTGTGTTTGTACGTGTGTGTATGTGTGTATGTGTGTGTGTGTGTGTGTGTGTGTGTGTGTGTGTGTGTGTGTGTGTGTGTGTGCGTGTGAGTGTGTGTGAGTGTGTGTCTGTGTGTGTGTGTTTGTTTGTTTGTGTGCGTGCGTGCGTGCGTGCGTGCGTGCGTGCGTGCGTGCACGCGTGTGTATGTGTGTATGTATGAGCGCACGCGCGCGCGCGAATGTGTGTGTTATATGTGCACATCTGCATATTATTGCTATTTGACTTAATGTTATTTAGACCTTTTTTTGGTAAGTGTTTTACTGCGCTCCTAACCATCAAAGGTCAGATGAGCGCGCAGGACACATTTTTAATGTTTTCCGGGTGGCGACCGAAGCCTACTCTTATCGATTTTAGGATCACCAAGGGATCTTTAACGTGCGCAACTTGTACATCATACCTCTGAGATTTTTTGCCCTTATCCGAGAAGGTTAAGTTTTAGATTTCACCTACCAAAAGATCAGGGGTGTGGCTGAGAGACAGCAGTATGACGGAGCCAATGAGTAACAGCAGAAAGGCTACAGAAAGAATCAGAAGCCCAGAGAAGGGGGTAAAGGGGAGGGGGTAGAAAGTGGAGACGAAAGCAAACGACAGAACTTGGTTAGAGAGGAGGAAAGGAGGTGAAAGAGAAACTTTTGGAGAATGAAATGTTCCATCGCTGTCAGGTTTCGAACCCGGAACCTATTGAATGAGAGGCGAACACCGTAGTTATAGGCTGTCTTTCAGCCGCCACGCCACTGATCTTAAGCCAGGTAAGATTCAGCACCTAGCCTTCTCAGGTAAAAGTAAAAAATCTTTGAGGTCCCGCCGTGTGCAAGGTGTACACGTTAAAGATGCCGTGGCGATTCTAAATCGATTAGAGTAGGTTTCGGTCGCCACCCGGGTAAAATTCAAAATTGATTCCTACCAAATAAAATGTTTAATATGTCCCGTGTGCTCATAATATGACCTTATGCATCTGCGAGCGCCGTAAAACACTTTTAAAACAAAACAATAAACCGTTATCAAACCTCCCTAGTTATACTTTATTGACGCTTTATCGGAAGAAGTTAGCAGTGTACATTTACTTATAACTTGTATTTTCACTAACTTCTTTGGAACAAAACAAACGCGCGTTCATAATATATGACCTTATGCAGTTGCGAGCGCCGTAAAACTCTTACTAAACTAAAAAAACACAAAAAACAACAACAACAAAACAAAACATACTGAAACTGCTTCCTCCACCTGGGCAGTGCTACTGACTGAAGTGTCTTTAGGCCATTCCCAAAGGGGGGATATTAATATGTTCTTATGCACAGTAGAATTGTAAATGGGCTGATTTATCAATGTCATGCTCATACTATGCCGAACAACCTAGGAGGAACTGCTGCTTTTTCTTTCCTCATCCTTACTATCGTCATGTTTCATTTACTTCTTTTGTATGTTTGTCACTCTCTTGTGAACTGCTATTTTCGGGGAGCCTTGATAATCGAAGCAGATTTTTTGGCTGTTGAGGCTAGAGAGGTGAGCAGAGTAAGCCTGATTCCCCGTTTGAACTTCTTTGTTGACTTCCACCCCTTGGCGCTCATATGACCTTATGCAGTTGAGAGCGCCGTGAAACCTTTCTAAAACAAACAATACTGACACTTTATGGTATCAACTCTTCGCACTCTCTTCGTCAAAATAAAATGAGAGTGAGCACTGCTTCTGTGGGGGGACATTACTCAATTCGAATTGCGGGAGTGGAAAAGTGAAAGCTTCCGGACAAAGGATGTATGCCGCAACCAAGGACCATACTACGACTCGTACCTGTGTATAACCTACATGGCCCCAATTGTCAGGCAGCGTGGTGGAATCAGGCTCTCGTCAACTTTTGGGCATGTAGAGTTATTGGTATCATCTTAAAGCTTGTTCACCTGTCTTTATGAGGATGAAAAAAGTATCCATTTATCATAAATACAGGTCGAGATATTTACAAAAGAATGAGGTGGGGGTCACCTGTTTTCAAAGGTAAAATAAGTGCGAAAAAGGCTGCGAAAGATTAATTATTTCCTTAGCTTAAGAGTTCCTGGTAATTTACATTTTTGTGCCTTTAATCAACGTTTTTCAAGAAAATTCAAACAGAAATGAGTTCTTTAATGGGCATGAAAGGTGTCGAGCTAAAAAACAAAAATTGATAAAAATTCATAAACCTGTGGAAAAAATGCAAGTTTCTTCACTTTGATTATTTTGACTAGAGCCTGATTCTACCACGCTGCCTCACAATTATCTTTGCACCATTGTCTCTCTGCCAGGTGGCCACTGCAAGGAGAGGGGGCCGACACTTCCGAGTGGTGGACAGCCCAGGACTGGCGGACACACGCCTCAGCTCGGCGGCTGCCATCAGGTAAGTCTTCTGTTAGTTTTGATATCTGGCGTTTTAACCCTTTGGGTAGCGGAGGGGAGGCTAAAACAGCACCTGGACATGGATGGCTGGTGCCTCTGTAAATAAATCATTGATGGTCAGGTAGCGGAGGGGTTCTCTACGGGTTGTGCCAGACCAATGTACTGTAGGGTGAAAGTGTTGTTAGGAGAGACCAGTCACTGGACTTAAGTAATTGAATAATATTGTATCAGACTTGTTGAAAAGAAATGGAGACAAAATGGTAAAATACAAGACGATTATGTGAAGAAAAACAACTCGTTTTCGTTTCATCGATAAAGCAGACTTGTTGTATCAAAATGAAGACAAAAGGATAAAGCACTAGACAATGCAGAAAAAAGGGCCAGCACAAAATGCCCCTCCGTCTAAAAAAATGGGATCTGTTTTTCAAGGGAGATACTATTAACACTATATCATGGAAATGGCGCGTAAATTAATAAAAGAGCCTTTAGCATAAGCTAAATGAGCATCTATTCGCTCGGATTTATACTTACACTTACATTAAAAAAAAAAGAAATAAAAGGCCACTCCTAAAGAAACAACAAAGAAAAAAATGCGAAAGCAAATGAAAGCAAATACCCCCCCCCCCCTCAGGTTCTAAACATGTATGTTTACCAACCCCCTCCCCCCCCCAAGTTCTAAACATGTATGTTTACCAACCCCCTCCCCCCCCAAGTTCTAAACATGTATATTTACCCCCCCCCCCAACACATAACGCTTCCCAGTTTTCATCAGTGATTGTATGACGTTATTGTATTTTATGTACGTGTGCAGCTTGTTTGAACATTTCGAGTGTACGGGAGTAGGCAGAGGGAATGGACCGCGATGAGTGTCCATCGTGGTTGACGTGTCTTCGCTCAATTTGGTAAATAGTCGATTTAAAAACAAAACGAAAACAACAGCAACGAAAAACAACAGCCTGTACATGATGCCCTTTGTGTTAATCACTGACGCCCTTTTGTTGACCGACTTGGTCAGTAAATTCTAATGGAATATCCATGTTTCTTTGAATGTTTTCCCTCCTAGTCCTTTGCTCTAACAGGGAGTCAGTAGAGCATCTGTATGAATACTTAACAGCAGCAACTTAACTTCAACAAAAAACAGAACTCCCAGCAACGACAGCAACGACAGCAACAACAACAACAACAACAACAAAAACAACAACAACAACAACAACAACAACAACAACAACAACAACAACAACAGAAACAACAACAACGACGACGACAACAACAACAGCTAACTAAGCAAAGTGAAGAAAGTGAACCGTGTTTCCTTCTGCTCTCCCCCCCCCCCCCCCCCCAGCAAAGCTTGCGAAGATACAAGGACTGGCATCCTCCAATGCCCAGAGGGCGTCGACGCCTTCCTTCTCGTGCTCAAGTACGGCAATCGCTTCACACAGGAAGAGCAGGAGACGTTGGCCTCTCTCAGGTCCATACTCGACCCCAACGTGATCAGAGATTTCTGTGTGGTTGTGTTCACTTATGGCGAATCGTTTGATATGAAGAAGAAGAAAACAGGCGTCTCGTTCCCGGAATGGTGTCAACAACAGACTGGGGCTTTGAGCACGGTCCTCGAAGAATGCGAGTACAGGTAAACATTTGTCACGACGCAGTGGAATCAGGCGTTCGTAAAAATTTTGGGCAAATGGCGTTATTGATATAATCTTAAAACCTGTTTATTTTCCTTGCTTTTTGTGAGAAAAAAAATACGCATCGATCTTGAAAAGAAGTCGAGATATTTGCAATTGAAAGAGGTGGGGGTCACCTAGTGTCAGAGACAAAGTTAGTGAATATAAGGCCTGCAAAGTTTGATCACTTCCAAAGTTGTGCAGTCCTTCTAATGGAAAAGCTTTTCTATAAAATCGACACAGGGATTTGGTTTTAAGTGGACATACAAGGTGATGAATTCAAAACAAAGATTTCGATGAAAATTGTCCAAAGGATTGAAAAATGTCAATTTCTATGAATTCACAATTTTGACGAGTGCCTGATTTCACCACGATGCCTCACATTATTATAGCTTGCCCACGTTTGCACTGCTATCTCTCAATTATGTCTTGACGTCACTGCATACATGTCAGAATTGTTGTACATGTATTTTGTGCAGTAGAGCAATCTGTACACTTGATATTATGGGCTGCTCAACTGAAAAGATAAAACTGTTGCCGAGTTCTTTTTGTCCAATAAAAGTAGTAGATCTAGGTCCAATAAAAAAGTACAGTAGCAGGAAAAATTAAAACGATTTAGCTGCAACCCCCCATTGCTTTAGATACTTTTTGTTTTACTGCTCAACTGCACGTCCTTTTAGTATGAGTGACCTATCCACTGGACGTCACAACACGCCAACACCTGGGTGCAGAATTGAATTTCACCGTTTAACATTGCGATTTACTGCTCTAAAGAAAGGTTTATTTTCTGTTTGGTAAGTGTTTTATGGCGCTCTCAAACTGCATAAGGTCATATGAGCGCACTGGACACATTAAGCATTTTTAGTTTGGTAGGAATTAATTTTGAATTTTGTCCGGATGGATGCCGAATCCTACTTCTATCGATTTTGGACCACCAAGGGATCTTTAACGTACGCAACTTGCACACAGGACCTCCGAGATTTTTCGCCTTTATCTGAGAAGGTTATGTGTTAGATCTTACCTACCCTAAGATCAGGGGAGGTGGCTGAAAGACAGCCAACGAGTAGCAGTAGAAAGGCTGAGAAAGAGTCAAGAGCCCAGAGGAAGGAGCAAATGGGTGGAGGTGGGGGCAGAAACTGAAGACGAAAGCAGACGACAGAACATGGTTAGAGAGCAGGAAAGGAGGTGGCAGAAGAAAATTTTCTGCCACAGTCAGGTTTCGAACCCGGGACCTATTGATTGAGAGGCAAACACTGTAACCTCTAGACCACGAGAGCCCCCGTTTGTTTTCTAAGATTCAAACTACATTGCAGCTGTATCAAATTGTTTCTTTGGGTTATGGGCACTGTAAATACTAAATGTGCTATATTAATGAGATTGAGTAAGTAATTAACCAGTCGCTTTTTATGTGTCCACGAAGAATTCTTATAATGCCAAGGGTGCATATAGTAAGCGTCCCTAAAAATTTAGTTAAAATCAAACGAAATGGTTGCCTAGAAAGCTTGCTTCGAACGCTTTACGATTAAGTGAACAGACTCTGAATCTCGCCCTTTATCGTGAAGGATATGGTAAGAAAAGATAAGAATCGATAATTTTAACTTGACAGAACTTTTCTGTGATAGATATGGTAAGACAAAATACGAAAAGATAAGATAAGATAAGATAGGTACTTTTAACTTAATTGGCTAGTTGTTGGAAGAATTGGAACCTGTACTGCTCCAGATTCTGTGGCCCTTCATATCAACGCAACATATTCTCTGTCTGTTTATCTGTCTGTCTGTCTGTCTGTCTGTCTGTCTGTCTGTCTGTCTGTCTGTCTGTCTGTCTGTCTGTCTGTCTGTCTGTCTGTCTGTCTTGCTCCCCCCTCCCTCATTGTTCTCTTCCCCCCCTCACACTTAAACACTCATTCACTCCCTCATATATAACGAAACACAATGCAACGTATTACATTAGAATTTTTTTCCGACACTCCATCATCTATCTATTTTACTTTGTAGGCTAGAAAATCATACAATTCTAATCATCAGAATACCAGATGTGTGTTCCAAGTCAGTTTGAAACCTTGTTCCACCATCCAGGTGTGTCCTCTTCTATAACCTCGACCCAGACAAGATGGCCGCCCCCATGGAGGAGCTTCTACGTCACATAGCCACCATAAGACAGGAGAGCGGCTGCTACACTCTGACCATGTTCTCAGACATGGATTTCTCGCATCGACAGCTGATTGCAGTGTTAGTGGTTTGCTTGCGTATTGCTGTCTTTTAAAAATATTAAATGTGAGGTAGCGTGGTGGAATCAGGCTCTCGTCAATTTTGGGGCATGTAGAGTTATTGGTATCATCTTAAAGCTTGTTCAATTGTCTTTATTTGTATGAAAAAATACCCATTTATCTTGAATACAAGTCGAGATATTTGTGAATAAAAGAGGTAGGGGTCGTCTATTTTCAGAGACCAAAAAATATCGAGAAAATGGTGGCTAAAGATTAGTTATTTCTTTAGCTTAAAAGTCCTTGGTAACTTAAAATTTACATTTTTTGTGCCTTTAATCAACGTTTTTCAGAAAAATACACACAGAAATGAGTTCTTTATTGGGCATGAAAAGTGTTGAGCCAAAAAACTAAAATTTGATAAAAATTCAAAAACCTGCGGAAAAATGCAGGTTTCTTCATTTTGATTATTTTGACGAGAGCCTGATTCCACCACGCTGACTCACAAATATTTTCTTCTTCTTTCGTTTCAACCCAGCTCTGATGATTAAGGAATGGGTTAGTGCCTATTGTACAATGGTCAAGCCCTTAAACTTTACCTCTGAAAATTAAAGATTTGAAATTTAAATGTATGTGTTTTTTAAGTACCCTTATCGGCACAATTTAGATCATCCAATCAGGACTGAGAGGGATGCAGCATCACACCATAAAGACTGATTTACTCTATAAAGATATTTCTTTCCTCTCGGGAATCGAACTCGAGTCTACTGGGTGCGACATCGAAGCACCCAAGACATTGGTTCTTTGCTACTGTAAGCAGAAGATGTAAGCTAAATTTCCATGTGTGTGTGTGGGTGAGGTGGGGTGGGTTTTTTATGTAGAGTAACTCTGTCTGTCTGTCTGTCTGTCTGTCTGTCTGTAGATAGATAGATAGATAGATAGATAGATAGATAGATAGATAGATAGATAGATAGATAGATAGATAGATAGATGTAGGGGAGGAGAAAGAGATGCAAGGAGAAGAGAAAGAGGGGTGACGAGAGGAGAAAGAGGGGCAAGGAGAGGAGAAAAAGGAACAAAGGTCGAAAAAGGATAGGGGGGGGGGATGGATGAGGGAAGGAAAAAGCCATACGTACGGCCGATTTATTCCTGTTGGCCTCCCACAATTTGAAGGCCACGACCACCACAGCAACAACGCAGAACGCTACCGCTATGGCAATGATTATTATCTCAGCTTCTCCCAGATCATCGTCGTCATCGCCGTTGTTGTTTCCGTTGTCAGGAGGCAAAGATTCTGAAGACAAATGTTTAGGTCAAAGTTATTCAGCAAATACAAGCAACAAATTGCACATGAGACAATGCATAATACCAATGCACTTTTACAATTAGTTTTAGTAAGAGTTTTACGGCTCTTGCAACACAATAGTATGGTAATATTTATAAGTGTCGAAGATTAGAGGTGCTTCGAGAGAGTGACAAAAAAAGCACAAAAAAGAGGAAGGAAAGATCAGGACAACAGATATTTGAAGGGAAACAAAGAGCACACCACACCAGAGCACCCACCAACCACCAACGTACCAATGTTTGAGGCAGCTGTAGAAAACAAACATCTTCGAGAGTATACACTACAAAAGTATACCACAAAGATGTAAGACAAACAGAGATAAATGTATAAAATGAATGTAATCGACAAAATGTACGTTTAAAACAAAATAAATGTAGAAGTAAAAACAATTTTACGACGCGTAGGTTGGACAAAAGCATTAGACCCTTCATTTCTCTCTCTCTCTCTCTCTCTCTCTCTCTCTCTCTCTCTCTCTCTCTCTCTCTCTCTAGCCCTCCCTCTCGTATAGATCCTCCTCTTCCGGATGACACAGCTGCACTCAAATTTGTTTACCTGGAGTTGTTTACAATAAACACACACGCAACACCACACATACTCACACACATACTCACACACATACTCACACACATACTCACACACATACTCACACACATACTCAAACACATACCCACACACATACTCACACACATACTCACACACATACTCACACACATACTCACACACATACTCACACACATACTCACACACATACTCACACACATACTCACACACATACGTATACACACAAAAACA